TTGCTCGATTCTAATGTTAACAGCCTGAAGCTAGACTGCCAGTGGTACATGTAGTTTCACTTGATTTCGCTTTCACTGAAATTTATGGCCATTTGCATGGTCACATGATGCAACTTTCAGTTTTTAAAATGTTTATTTCACCGGTTGGTTTTTTATTATTTTGTTCACTTTTAGTTTCTTTGAACATGAAAGATTTTGTTTGATTTTATTTTCAGTTCCACATTTTGTTTTATCACTTGAATTTTGAACAGTCACTATTCAAAATAATTCATTTTCGTTGCTTAACGTTATTAAGAATATTTTAAATGTTGCTTCCTGTTCTGCTTCGGTCCCAATATTGCATTTGGATAAGATTTGGATCTAAAAAATTTGAATTTTATTTCCAGACATTTTTTGTTGTGTTTTTTCTACTGATCTTTTTTGTATTGATTTTATAGAAATTTCTCAGGGACGTTTCCATAGTTACCTCTACCAATTTTTTTATGCACAAGTAGATAGCTTTAAATTATTCTTGATAAAGTTGATGAAAAATGAAAAGAAAAGAAATATGTTTTGAATAGTGGCTGTTAAGGATTGCCTTCGTATCTGCAGCAGGTGGGCAGAGCTATATTACAACATGAATGTGATCATTTAAGGGAACTTGTTACCATGGTTACCAGAAATATAGATAATATATCTACCTGACTTAGGTGTATGTCTATAGATTTCTGTATGAGTATGTTACAAGATATTAGAATCTTTAGAAACATATTGGAAAGATCTTGATTTTATGGAGGACCAAATAAAATATGAATATTCATATTATGGTGTCCATTGTATTCATTTCTGCATGTTGCCATGGAAACATGCTTAATATGGAGATCATTTGCATGGCTATTTATAGTAAAAATGTGATAACATTTTTTTTTCACATCACCAAATGAGTTTGATAGCTGCACTTCCTTCAAATCAGAAAAGTTGTAATTTGTAATTTAGTTTATAATAAGTGTTGTACAACCTTCTAATTTCCCTGTGCAATTTTCAAATATTTTTCCCTATTTTGTTAAAAAGAATAGAGAAAATTAGTTTGTTGTTGTGTATGGTGTTTTTAATGCAGATTTTACAAAATCAAAATTTTTCCTTTTAACAACTTTGTGATAGCTTCAGGACACATTTTGAAGATGTAGAATACGCTCACCTGCTTGATGCTATGGCAATATAATATTTTTAGTTGTTTTAGCTCTGAATTGTTGTGATGTTTATGTTGTGTGAGATGTTTGTAAACATCTTTGTGTTGTCATTGTATTAACTACTATCACAAAATATTAAAATTTCTTATTTGTTTTTAGGAAAATTAGTCATGATTTGTCACCTACCTGACATGTATGTGTGACATTTATTTAGTATTAATTATATTTCTCATTTCATATCCACGTTATAGATTAAAATGTTCTCTTTCGAATTTCAGATTCCTAGCAAAAAACATTTCTCAGTTACTATGTATCTTTTTATGTGAAACTATTGAATAACAAGTTACATGGAATTTTTGGTTCATTTTTTTTTTCCTTTTTTATTTAAAAACCACATTTTTATTGCGACAATATCTCAAGGAATTTAATCTTCAAAATATTTTTTTTACAGATAAAAATATCGATTGTCGTAGTTACAGGCTTTAGGGAAGAAAGGAAAATCTTTTTATATATGTAACAAATTTGTGAAAAATATCTGTATCATCCATAACTTCGATTTGTTTTAACTGCTTAATTCTTCGATGATATTACCGACAAAAAAACAAAAAAAATTGTGAGGAAGTCATTTCATTGATAATGTTACCAAAAAATAAGTTTGAAAATTTTACATGAATATACAAGAGTAAACAGTCTTTACTCTGGTAAAGAAATTATTTGGCTTAAGTATACAATAACAAATACGTGTTATGGATGGCAGGTGTAAATTCTGTGTGGATGAACCCAAAGTAGATAAAACTATATTGATATATTGTTGAAAAGAATCTTCCTTAAAATTATCCAAGTTATTTTCATAAATGAAAATAATAATAAATTGAATGAACGGTATTTAATTATAATATTTTGGGTTTGTCCTATGATCTATCTTGTTATATTAAGTACAGCCATGCAAGTTTGTCTCACGAATGATTTGTTGTTTTTGTGCATGTAAATGTAGTTTATTTTTAGCATGGATTGCCTCCCTTCCAAACAAGCTGCCATTCTCTGCATGCCTTCGGACAATCATCATCCAATCAAAAGTGGGTATGAATTTGACCTTTATACTGAGACCTGCTGCCTCAGGTAGGATTTACCCATATAGCTGGGTTTTTAAAAAAAAAAAAAAAAAAAAAAATTTTATTTAATATGAATTCACATATTTTCAGCGTAGATCATGTATGAAAATTGACCTAAAATATTTTAAAATATTTATATCTTATAAAAGTGTATGTCAGACAAAAATGGATAAGATTTTAAGATATAATTTAAATTCTTTATTGCTAATGAGAAAAAGTGAGATGACAGGGACTGTCCTGGTTGATCATATGATGAAATGACGTATGACAATCTTTGATACATGACACGGACTGTCCTGGTTGATCATATGATGAAATGACATATGACAACCTTTGATTCATGACACAGACTGTTCTGGTTGATCGATCCAAAGATGACTATAAGATACATGCCATTAGCTTTTTTTTTGTTTTTTTTTTTTGGAAAATATATGATTCAAATTCAAAATTACAAAATTATTTCTCACATGTTGGCAGATCAGAATATGATCAATGAATGAAGTGAAAAAGAAAACATCAATCAGCCAAGATTCGAGGCAAAATGTTTGGATTAATATGAAATTTCATATTTTATAAACAATAAAATTTGTTGGAAGTAGTGCAACTTCAGTTCTAATGGTAAAGTCTTCTTCTCATCTGTTGATAAACTGATCACTTTGATTGATATGGGAAAAATGTCCCTCCCAGTCGAGGAAGAAAGAGTTCGTGGATTCTGAAGAAATGAAAGTATTCTGAAGAGGGGAGACAACTTCTCATTTACTGATGAATTTGAAATATGCAGTCTTTCAATATATAAGATCATGGAATTTTTTTATTTCATAGAAAGTTTTTTTTCTGATTTTTATTTTTGACTGTCTCTTATTTAATGATAATTCTTAAATTTTCTGTAGTGTGTGTTTTTTTATGTTTACAATTTATTATAGTAAAATATTGCTATAACTTCTAAAATTTGGCTAAATGGTTGTTTTAGTTGTACAAACATCCTGTTAATTAGCTATTGAAATATAGAAATTGAAAGACAGCATTGATTTTGGATTGATCGGTTGAAACTTCAAGGAAAGTTGTTTACAAGAAGAAAGAAGAAAGGAGTTTTGCAGCACATGAATACCAGTGCCTTGCATTCACAAAAAGCCCTTTTAAAACACCATGACTTCAGATTAAACCACAAGGAAAACAGATTTGAAACATGTTTTAAAAATGTTCAAGATAAAACTGGAACAGATGAGGAATGTAGTTATTGGAGAGAACAGGATGAGGATTTTATCATTCCTTTCTGGACGTGACAAGATACTTACATTTCAGGAAAACACTCAGTAACGTTCATCTGTTAATTATATGTAAATACAATCTGATAATTTCAGCTGTTCGGCAAATTCGATTCCTGTAACATCATAGCAGTGGGTTCAAGGTTCCTTACCTTGTTACAGTACTAGATATATGTTTATATACCTTACATTGAAGTTTAATCGTAAAAAAAAAAAAAAAAAATGTTTAATCGTGAAAAAAAAAAAAAAAATAAATAAATGTTTAATCGTTTACTGCAATATATTTGTTTATCAAAAGATAACATGAATTACAAGGCTCGTAATGGATCTACTTTCATTTTGATCTTTACACAACAATATGATCAGGATTATACTCTGAATGAAAGTAAATTTATCAACACCTGAATAACAATGAAGTTAACTTCTGTTTTGAAATAATGAATTTAGCTAGCAATAAACCAAGGACAGGTAATGTGCCTGTTGGTGTGTATTGCTGTAGAATTACAAACGAATACCATTTCACTGTCCTGTGATAAGCCCACCCCAACTTTTGATCAGGATTAAAGTGTTTGATCCCCTGGACTTATTGTCCTATAATAAGCCAAATACAGTTTTTGAGTCATAACCATAACAGCATAACATAACATTATTTTCATATAAACACATTCTCAAGGAATGTTCCGATAAAGACATCTGGAGTTTTAATACTAGAAACAAAATGTGCAGTTTAGACAACACACGGCTAGGAGTCAGACATGAAATAAAACAAATTGATAGAAAGGTCGGCACATTAGAAGTCATTTCAGCATTAAATGATTCTAAAATTCTGGAGAAAAGATAGTCATATAGGATATCATTGAGAGATAAAACAGTTTTTTAAGAAAAAGAGGAACATGGTGTATTACAGTGGATGACACTACTGAAGCAAGTCTCATCTGATTGCAAGACAGAAGAAAAAAATCTTGAGAAGAGGAAAGACTGTTTTTGTCATTGGAACTGCCAGGGAACTCAATACTCTTTTCATTAATATATTATTTTCTTCTCTGATATCAACTATTATTCATCATTCTGTCAATTTGCCATCAACATCAAAGTGGAAAACATGTCTTTTTTTTTCTTTTTTCATTTTGTTATATTTTATAGTATGGACGGGATGTCACATGACCACAATTTTAAATGTTTTTGACTTCTTGTTTGCTTTGTCATGATAACGATTCTTGTTTTAGTTTCAGTGTTAACCTGATGTGATCTTGACCAATGTGTACTTAATTATAGCTGAAACATCTTTTATCAATACAGAAAATATTTGTAGTTGTTGATAAAATATTTCATTAATTATAAAGTCAGTGATATAGATGTATTTAAAATTCAAGAGCTTTCTTAATTACGTCTCTTGATTAAACTAAAATCATTTCACCCGTTATGTTCATGATTATGTATATTTTATTTCTTAGAAATGACCCCTCAAGTCGACGAGGAGGAGAAGGTCATTCCCGTTACCGAGGAGACTGTAGAAACAGTGGAGGGTCTAACTATTATCCAGGAGAAGATGGCTCCAGAAACAACGGAAGCCACCTCCCTGGAGATCACCGTGGATGGCACAAGTCCCACGGAGACGGAGGAAGTTTCTTTCGAGTTTGTGACACGGGAGAAGGTGGAGGCCACTCCCGAAGAAGTCACAACAGAGTCTTTAGTAGCCCTTCCTGAACAGCAGGAAGTTCCTCTGACGGCGGCAGTTCAGGAAGTCTCTGAGGTAGTCCCCACAGAGGTGAAAATGGAGATCGAATTGGAGACCACGCCAGAGGAGGCTAAGCCTGAGGAGGTTACCGTCAAGGAACTGCCTCTGCCCAAAGAGGAAGTTCCTGTCGTGGAGACAGCACCAGATGTGGTGGAGGAAGTCATTGAGGAAGAGGCTGCACCTACCAAACCCACAGGGGAAGCACCGCGATTCACGACCGAGTTGAGCAATATAACTGTTACCGAGAGCACATCGGTCAAATTTATCTGTGTTGTTATCGGCAGTCCAAGGCCAAAGGTTACATGGCACTTGGACGGTGAGGTAATTGAGGACTCGGAAACCTACATAACCGAGTACCAAGAAGATGGCACCTGCACCCTTACAATTGATGAAACCTTCAAAGAGGATGAAGGTGAATACAGCTGCCAGGCAGTGAATGACTTTGGCACTGCCACAACGATCGCTGAACTGAAACTTACAGGTAGGTCATTTTTTACTATTACATTCCTCAGACTTCTGTATTGGTGACCTTTGAACTTCTGTTTGATATGAAGTGTACCCATCCTGCACTGATTTTTGTTGAGTGAAATTAGTCCATAAAGAGTTTTCGTAAAGGATGATTATGGGCAGTGTATGTGTTAAATGGGTTGGGAGATGTTTTAGTATCATTTTTAACTATTCTTTTAAAGAAAAACTTTTTAATTGGAAAATTGGTAGAAAGATTATGAAAATACATTGTAAAATAAGGGTAAACTTTGAATGTCAGATACATATCTATTTGTTGATGCTGTGTGATTTGGAGAACAGCTGTTGGTGTGCAAGGTTACAAAAATAGAACTTTTTATACGTGGGAGCATGGATATGGAGTGGAGTGATATTCCTACATGAATTTCAACACTAGCCATCTAACTAGGTGTTGTCTTTTGTCTCCTACACGTAGTCTAGTTGCCTTCTTTGTTGTGTCTTTAAACTTTCCCTTATAAAGATTTGTTTTTGTCTTTCTGTGTTTGTTTGTGAAATGGGTGGTTTAGTAGAGTAGTCCTGCATACTACCAGTGGCTTTCTACTCAATAGAGAACACATCTTTCATATTTATTTCATATCTATTTTTGATAAAAGGATTGAAAGAATGATGCTTCATAAACTTTCAAAGCTATTCCTATGAGAGTGTGTATCTGAATTTCTCAACCAATAACCAATTTTGTCTCTGAACCTCTAATGTAAAAAAAATGTCTTGTAATGATATAACTTGGAAATTATGTCTGTGAGAATCTGTATGTGAGCTTGAGAAATAATTATCTATATCATTTATGAACAAATTATTGGAAAGATGGAGTCAGTGTCAAGTCTGTCTCTTTTCTTTCCCTGTGTTAAGTACCACTTCAGAAAATGTTAAAATGTTTTTAGGGACTTTTATATGTGAAGTGGCACTCATAACAGTCTGTGTCCAAGTATATTAGATTTTATGTGTAAGTCCAAATATATTTGTGAGTGTGATCCTGTGATCTTAGTCCCCTCTCTTGGTGTGTAAACCATTCTCTCTGAATGTGTGTATTCAGCATCCTTTGTGAAGTACATATGATAAAAAATCTATCACACCACACACCCACTGCCAGCATGTCACACTCCTAACCCAGCATGCTGCACTTTGTTCTTGTTAGCCTTGTGTTGTACACAGGCAACCTACTGGAAATATATATGATGTTTTGTTATGACTGAAATGTAAAGAAGTTTTGTCATTCCTTTGTCAGTAAGTATAGTTGAAATCTATATGTGCTGCAGTTTTCTCATTATTGTACTGTTTGCTAGGATCTACAAGCATGAGTGACGAAATAAGTGTATTTGTTACAGTTTTTACGAATTGCTTATTTTATTTTAATAACATAGAGAACCTGCCATGTTGTACTGAATATTGTGTTATTGTACATGTTTATATACATTTTGTAGAACTTTTATCATTGGCTTGAATGTTTATTCTGTTTTAAAATTTTTTAGAAAATCATTTTTTTTTCTTAAGATGTGTTTTGTGTGTAATTGATTCTCTGAGTTTCTTAATTTAATTTTGTTTGGAGATTTTTTTCCTGAAATGTGGGTTTGTTAATGTTGAAAACTTACAAATTTTTAAGATAATATATAGATGGAGGTCACATACGTCAGTATTATCAGGTCTGTACATATGTAGCTGATAATGGTCTCCAAACTTGTTCAGTGTTTATCAGAATACAGATTAACCATGATTTAAATCTACTGGCCAAACAGGAATTAAGAAAAAATCATATGTAGTAATATAGCACCAAATCCCATCCCATTATGTAAATCAGCTTAAACTTTTTTTTTTTTTTTTTTTTTTAAAGATTTCTTTGCCTTATGAGTTTTGAATTTTGAATTACCTTTATTCTGATATGTGCTCTAGTGCAGCTTATGTAAAAGGCATGTTATCTGTTGCTGAATTATTTGATTTTAACTACATAGTTGTATAGATGCTGTCTAAATTGTCAATGAAGTCTTATGGCTTATCTGGAAACAGAATCTTGTTTAATGAATATTTTTAAGTCATACAGTATCATCAGTACTAACTGTCATATCATGGTTAACAAATGTTGATATTTAATACATAATTGGTCGTAGAACTCTTAGAACAATGGAAATGAAAACCTGTAAGATAGCTTACATCCAGAAGTAAATTTAGAGATAAAATTATTTCTGTATTTAAGACATAGAAAAGCCTCGTTACACAGTAACCATTTTTGTTGAAAGCAGTTATGGACACTAACCGAGGAGTACAATTTTAACGCTCCCTGGAATAAGCTATGCTCTGTGTGATTTCTTTTGATATTATAAATCTGCATTAAACATTTAAACATATTATCTTTGATGCAGTAACTGTATTCTGTGTTTCCATGTCATGCTTTGGGAATTTTGTTTTGTACTTCAGATAAAATGTAGACAACTTGCACTTTTGCAGTGCATAGTGTAGACTGTTAAATAATAGATACTACAACGATGACTTGTATTGACAGGTTTTGGTTTCATAAAAAAAAAAATTATTGTGAACATTTTTGGTCAGATAATCCATACAAAAAAAAGTGCTTTTATGAAGTTATGGTAAAATTTGTTTATTGAAATCTGGTGGTAGCTAAGAAATATTTCTGAAACAAGGCTTGGACATAACATATTCATAATTATGTTGTGCCATTATTGTGTATGGCTGTTCTCAATATTTGCATGAGGCTGTATATATTGTGACTAAAAGACACACAACATACCACTTTTATACAAACATCTGTCTTTCACATGAGGATGTGGATGGAAAAGATTTTTTTTTTGTTTAAACATGGTGTGTGAGAGAGTGTGTTTGTGTATATGTGTTATAGGTACAATCTATCCTAAAGCGTAATATGTAATTAGATATTTTGTCGACATCAGTCACCGATGACCAACCAGAGAGCGGGGATTTATCGGAGGATGAAACACGTCCTGTGGCCCAATCAGAAATTACTATTCCTCAAAAATTTACTGAGGAAACACAACCTTCAGTCTCTGAAGAGACAATTTCTGAAAAACTAGAATCAGAAAAACCGAAAGAAAAAGGAGAGCTACAGAAAGACATCAGCCCAGATCTTGAAGATTTTGTGGCTGGAGTTGTACATGACATTCTTGAGTCTGTGAAATCAGTGGACAAAAATGTTTCAGAGAAAGACACTACAGATCAGGAAATCGATAGGAAAATAGTGGATATGGTGCGAGAACCAGAGGAGGAGGAGGATGAGACAGATGATGTCAAGTTTAAAGAAGTTCTTCAAATTGATAAGAAACCAGAAGAAGATCTTCCAACATTCAAGGAAAGTGTTGAAATTGAAAAACGTCCTGATACAGAAGAAGTTGTTGTTGATATTGACATCAAACCTCAAACTAGAACTCGGGTCACGAAAACTGTTACCGAGACAACCGAGGTCACAGATTCTGAAGTGATGGAAGTTGAAACCATTGCCCCAGAGGATGACATCATTGTTACCGAACGTGAAAGTCTAGCTGTGACAGAATTCGCTGAAGACAAACCTGGATTCACTCAAGAGATAGAAAAGCAGCCGAAACCAGAAGAACTGGTTGTTGAAGTTGACGTTACTCAAGAAAAAACCAAGACAGAAATCACAAAAACAGTAACAGAGGTAGATGAAATTACCGATACTGAGACAGTTGAGATCGAAACAATTGAGCCTGATGAAGACATTGTTGTCACAGAGATGGAATCTATAACAGAGTCTGAAACTGCAGAGGAACAACCGAGATATGATGAGGAGGTTGAGAAGAAGATTAAACCAGAAGAACTTGTCATCGATATTGATATCACTCCTCAGCAAAGAAAAACTGAAATCACAAAAACTGTAACAGAGATTGAAGAAGTAACTGACACCGAGACAGTTGAGGTGGAGTCGTTGGAGCCAGAGGATATTACTGTCAAAGAAAAGCAAACAGTGTCAGTAACAGAGACAGCTGAAGAGCTACCCCAAGTCATTGAGGAAATTCAGAAACAGCCTAAACCAGAGGAGGTTGTGATTGATATTGATGTAACGCAGCCAAAATCCAGGACAGAGATGACAAAGACAGTCACAGAGGTAGAGGAAGTCACGGATACTACAACAGTTGAGGTAGAAACCATTGAACCGACAGACGTCATTGTAAATGAGACGGAAACAGTTTCTGTTTCCGAGACAACTGAAGACCAACCAAAGTTTGTCGGAGAAATCGTGAAACAGCCAAAACCAGAACAAGTTGACATTGATATTGAAATATGTCCTCAACAATCCAGAACGGAAGTAACTAGATCTGTGACAGAAATAGAGGAAATCACTGATACTGTGACACAGGAGGTTGAAATTTTGGCTCCTGAGGAAGAGGTTAAGGTTACAGAAAGAGAAACTATCTCAATATCCGAGACAACAGATGAACAACCAAAATATATCAACGATTTAGAAAAGCTACCCAAAACAGAAAAGATTGGCATCGATATCGACGTTGCCCTTCAAATATCACAAACTGAAGAGATCACAACAGATGAGAAAACAGAGGAAATCACCGACAAAGAGACTGTGACGGTAGAAACCATTACACCTGAAGATGTGTCTGTTTCCGAGACAGCTGATGAGCAACCTAAATTTGTTGAGGAAATTGACAAACAAGCAAAACCTGAAGAGGTTGATGTTGATACTGAAATAACAAAGATAGAAGAAGTTGTTGATACTATTACAGAGGAAGTTGAAACTCTAGCACCTGAGGAGGAAACCGTTGTCACTGAAAGAGAAACTGTTACTGAGAAACCAGAGGTAACAGAAAAAGTGATTGAGGAAGTTCCAGAGGAAACATTCAAAGAATCAACAGAAATTGAGAAGAAACCAGAAGAGGTTTCTGAAGTTGAAATATCAGTTGAGGAGAAACCAGCTGAAACCTTTGAGGAAAGTGTTGAGGTTGAAAAGAAACCAAC